GTCTGAAGGACTGCAATTATTTTTAGGATACTTCCATAAATTTGGAGAGCAGCACGTCTTTTGGTTCCATCTGAAATTGCTAGGTTCTCTGCCAAAGAGCACTCAGTGGAAAGTCGCTATAGCTGCCAGGCCAGAAAGAAAGTCTTTATTAGGGCACTGGTGAATTCAAATATTTCTTTATTCATTTCAACTGATTAAAACTGCACAGATCAGTTATTACAACATAATGAATATGTAGTATTTATTAGGAATGTGCACTGGCTTTGGAAAACAATATCCAAACAAGTCAAACCAGGGATATTTGTAGAATAGATACAGGGTAGTTCAAGAAGCCCCTAGTCATGTTCAAGTCCATTAGGACACTCCTACAAATCACTGAAACGTCCTCTGGTGTTTGCAGAAATAAAAGTGCTGAAATATGGAGAAAAATGTTTCGTGCTAGTTGCTGAAGGAAAAGAGGGAAGCGTTTGAGCAAAAGAAGATTGACAGCTGAAGCCCCAATAAAACCAAAATCTCTTTGGGAAAATCCAATTGTTGTGCATAATCTCAACACATTCTCTTTATTCCTCATCCACCCAACTGTTTTACATTGATACATGGCAAGGGGAGGGTAGCACATCAATTATTAGACTGGCTGTCTTGGGGAATTTTCGTGCTTTTTCGTTTAGGTAACTACACTGAACCTTCCTTATACCGTGGTGCCTCACTTAACTATGTTAATTCGTTCCAGTGAAATCGCTGTAGAGCGAAAACGTTGTAAAGCGAAAATAAAAAAACCCATCAAAATGCATTAAAACGCGGTTAATGTGTTCCAATGGGCTAAAAACTCACCGTCCAGCGAAGATACTCCATACAGCGGCCATTTTCGGTGCCTGTGTAGAGAGGAATCCATCCCTAAGCACAGCGGGGAGCCATTTTGAGCACCCAGTGGCCATTTTGAAAACCCGATGATCAGCTGTAAAGATCGTCGTAATGCGACGAATTGGTTCCCGAAGCAGGGCACTGATCTTCGCAAAGCAAAAAACCCCATTCAGACCATCGTTTTGCAATCGCAGTTGTACTTAGGAGTGAGTATGTGTGTGAATGTGGGATGGATGACACTCCCTTGTGTAAGCTTTGATTCGTTAGGTCACAATAGTGCCAGGGAGTCTCTTTCTACTCTGCAAACACCTATTGTTGGCCTTTACTCACATCCATTTGGGGACAGTAAAGGGACATTTTCTCACACCCTAATACATGTTTTCCTTAGCGTACCTCTAGAGGGAGGTAGAAAGAAGGAAGGAAGGAAGCTGGCAAAGCCTTAGCCTACAATCAGAAGGTCCACCACATTCTCAAAACTGATGGTGTTGTTTAGCTTCCCTCCACATCCCAGTCTTATTTACAAGTATTTATTTTCTACAATTTCAGTATTTTTCTCCAAATGTGGGAACATATAAACACAAATATATACTTGCAGAATACATGAACAAATTCGTTCAGGCCATCTCCAAATCAGGTTGGGTTCATCCCAATTTGCACAAGGACATAATTAGATACAATTTGGATCAGATGGTATTCAAAAACCACTAGTATTACATACCTATTATGTAAATCTTCAGTAGTATGAAATGGTGAACATAATGCAGTGGTGTCATCAAATACAACTAAACCCAAATGATTTTGAGTCCCCACCCATTACATAGTTTTATAGACCAGACCCCTGGATGAGGTCATTGTTCCACTCACATTGTGACCTTGCCTATAATGCGTGGATTAAGTCTTCTCACTTGCTGCAATAGGGTCGGGATGTTAATGTTTGCTTATTTCAGTCTTGCAGGAAAGAATGAACAATGCCAAAAAATAAAAGAGAACAGAACAGAACAAAACAAAATTGTTCCCACTGGGTGAGATTTCTGAGGCTTTTGTGCTTTTTTGTGCATTCTGAAAAAATGTGGAAGTGATTTTGGCAAAAGAAATCTGTATATGCATGAAATGCAAAGTTTTTAATGCAAAATATGAGGGGGGGATTGTGAATGCTGCCACTGATGAAGAAAGCTCTGGTCTTTTCACTTTTGTGTAGCCAGAAAAATCTCAAAGTGGTTGACAATTTTCTCCACAGGATGTCTCAATGTGCCACAAAACTTCTTCTTCTTGTTTTTTTTTTTGTCAAGGATGGAAAAAATGATGTGTATGCATTACATCCTTAGACTGGGGGTATAAATCCCAGTATAACTCTTTTCCTTTCCCTGTCTGTGAGACAACAGGATGTTTTTCCTGCAGGTGATGACAAGATATTTTCTGAACTATCTGTAAGAAAGATTTTGGCACAAAATGAGATATTTGGCAAATATTCTCCACATCCCTACCTGTGATCAGTCAGTGGAGAATAATATAAAGAAGGCAAAAGCAAGGTAAAACTTTTGATGGAGTAAAAAGAGAATAAGATTCAGTCCTCTCATTTGGCTTCCATGTGATCCTTTGAGAAATTTCACATCAACCCAGATTTCCTTCACTTTCTCTTGAAATTCCTCAGATGTTTTACCTAAAGAGAAACTTCAATATTTGCCTGCCATTTAAGTTTGACACCCTATGGATAACAGCACGTGTCACATTTAGGGGCTGGACTGGGATATGTGAATTTAAGCTTCAAGTTGTCACAGTGCCTTAAAACTCACTGGATGCCTTTGGAGTAGTTTCTGTCTCTCAGCCTGAAGTACCTCAAATAACTCTTCTGGGGTAGAAGGGAACCCATGTTCACCATCTTGAGCTGAATGAGAAGGCAGATTATAAACTTAGCCAATAAATAAAGGAGGTGTTTTCTTCAGAAATTTTCCAAATCTTACTATTCAAATGTGTTTGGCTATTTTCAAAATGCCTCTCCATATTCATATTGAAGTTCATTTTGACATTGGAGGAAGGTGAAACATCGATGGTGATTCTTACCCATCTCTCGTAACAGATCATGATGAATGAGACTTACTTAGCAAAAGCAGAGCCTCTAAATTTGCACACTACAGCTCAAGACACATTAAAGTGGGTTGTGATGATGTGCAAAAATTGCAGGCTCCATTGGAGTCGCACTAGTAAAAAAAATGGTTTACCAAGAACACAAAGCTTAGATGGGCATAAGAAGAAAAATAAATGACTCCAGCAAGTGTTGGTACTCATGTATGTACCAGATTGATACAATGGCACATCTTGTAAAGGCCAAAGAGCCCTTTCCAACCATCAGAAAACTAGAGATGTTTAGAGAGCACAACATTCATGAATAATAAGAATGGCATTACTTCTCTGAAATAGGAACACATGATTACAGACAGATGCAACTAAAAACTACGTCAAAATTCTATGCTGAGGCACAATTTAGGATCTCTAACATATGCCTTTGAATAATTCCATGAGACCCCATATTGGCTGTGACCATCACACATGAGAAAAGCTTAAACTTCCTCCCAGCCAGTTCTTATTTCAAACTTGCACACACAACCTCCATGTACCTGATATTTTTTAAAAAAACAATACAGCGGACCCTAAAGGTGGCTGGATAGCGTAGTGATTTAGGTACCTGGCTGTGGAGCCAGAGGTTAGGGGTTTGGGTACAAGCCAACCTGTGTACTCTTGGGCAAACTGCACAGTCCCAGGGAATCCCAAGAAGCAGGGAATGGTAAACCACTTCTGAGTATCCTCTACCTGGAAACCTGGAAAAACGTCACCAAAAGTAAGTAAGACTTGAAAACATATGATTATTGTAAGGGAAAGGTGGGGAGTCTTGAAATAAAAAGGTTGCAGGTAAAGATTTAAACATCCCTTACATGAGGACTCCAATCTGGGATGGGGCTGCATGTTCTTATTCAGACGTGGAAAAGTCATTCTAAACTTTACACTGTATACTCAAAATAGAATTC